AGACAAATGGTTGTCCTGTCTCTTCTTGAAAGCCTCCAGTGATGGAGCACCCACACCTTCTGAAGGCAAGTCCTTCCACTGGTTAGGAAATTTCTCCTTAGTTCTAGGTTGCTTCTCTCCTTGGTTGGTTTCCAACACATGGTTTCTTGTCTTGCCTTTTGGTTCTTTGAGAAAACCAAAAGTCCACATATAAACTGGGTGAAACCAGGCTTAATAGCAGTAACTGTGAGAGGGATCTTGGGGTCTTAGTGGACAACCCCTAACAATAATTGTTGGTTATTATTATTATTGAGAAAGTAATAATTAGATAGCACAATAGCTACCAGTCAGTAAAGTTGTTTATTTTTACTGTATTTATTTAGCAAATTGATATGCCACCCACCCAGTTTAGGTACAGAAAAGAAAAGAAAACAATGCATTCGAAAATTAAACAAAATAGGATAAGATGTCCCAAAGGTGCTTTTTTTTGTTTTTCAAGAGGCAACTGGACGTTCTTATTTTCCCTAGAAGATGCTTCACTTCTCATCCAAGAAGATTCTTCAGTTCTGACTGAATGGAGAAGGATGGAAGGATTTATACTCCTTGCAGTCATCTGGTCGTTAGTATTTTCTCTGAGAGCCACTTGGAGGTTTATCTGGTGCCCTCAGCGCCACCTGAATAGTGCAAATGGGTGAAGAACCTTCTTGGAACTGTTGAAAGGACTGTGTTGTAAATAGAAAGTAAGTTTTGCCCTATCCCTTCCCCTCCAGTTGCCTTTTGAAAAATGTTTTGGGGATATCTGTGATCTGGAGGACTGAGAATTTCCATTGACCTATAAGATAAGATGATTACAGTTAGTTTAAGTCCTCGTAAGATCACCCCAGTTTGCAGCATTTCACTTTTGTGTACAAAGCAAAAGGAAAACATTTTAGGGGAAGAACTCTCCTACAAAAATGTCCACCACGCATTCAGCAAACCTAGCATTTTATCTTGCATTGCAATGGTTTTATTTTCACTGATCAGCCTGGAAAAACCAAATGTGAAATGAGAGTTAAACGTCTTATGGCATTGCCTGCCAAAATTGTTCGGGCCGCTTTGGTAATCCACACAACAGACTTAATTACTCAGAGAAATTTCAAGCATGTTGAAATTCTGTAAAAACAGCTGCCAAGCTTAGTCAGATATTAATCAGAAGTGAAGTCTGGAAAGAATGTGAACTGTGAGCTGGCAAAGTCCCAGTAAGCTCATTTTAGTTCTGAACTCTGTAGCTGAGGGACCATTGTCCCAAGGATATGTCCCCTAGGTAACTGAGCTTTAGTCTCCTCTTCTGAAGAAGATCTTTTGCTAAAACATCACTGTTACTCTAACACTAAACGAATAAACAATTTGGTTTCAGAAAAAAACTATCCTGTAATCTGCAACTCTTACACTGCAAAAACATATGGACTACACAACTCGATCAGGGCAAAGCAATAGACGCAATCTACATAGACTTCTGTAAAGCCTTTGATTCAGTGGTACATGACAAACTACTCCTAAAACTAAAATCTTACGGTATCTCTGGACACCTGCATAACTGGAAAGAAGCATTCCTGTCAAACAGACAACAAATGGACAAAATTGGGAGCGTCCTATCAAATTCTGTACCTGTCAACAGTGATGTCCCCCATGGCAGTGTTTTAGGACCAACTCTTTTCATACTCTACATAAATGACTTTTGTGATCATATTAAGAGCAACTGCGTTCTCTTCGCTGATGATGTAAAGCTATTCAACACCACAGACAATACTGCTACCCTTCAAAAAGACCTTGACTGTGTATCAGAATGGTCAAACAAATGGCAACTTCAAATCTCAACAAATAAATGCTCTGTCCTACATATTGGCAAAAAAAAATCAGAAAATAAAATACAGGCTGAATAGTCAAGACCTTGTTTTTTTTAAATAAAGTTTTATTGTTTTTTAAGACAAACATAGACAAACAAAACATAAAAACATCAAGCCATCTTCATATATATACATACAGTGTGTCGGTTGGTTTACAAATTGTTTTGTGCTTCCAAACTCTGTCAAGGATCTTGGAGTACTTATCTCAAATGATCCAAGTGTAAGAGCCCACTGTAACTACGTAGCCAAAAAGGCGTTAAGAGTTGTTAACCTAATCTTTCATAGCTTTTTCTCTGGTAATATTACACTACTAACTAGACCATACAAAACATTTGCTAGACCAATACTCAAATACAGCTCATCAGTCTGGAACCCACATTACGTATCTGATATTAACACAGTTGAGAAAGTCCAGAAATATTTCACAAGAAGAGTTCTCCACTGCTCTACTCGTTGTAGAATACCTTATGCCACCAGACTTTAAATTCTAGACCTAGAAAACCTACACCACCTTTGGTCCAATCTAAGTATAGTATATAAAATCATACATTGCAATGTCCTACCTGTCAATGAATACTTCAGCTTCAACCATAACAACACAAGAGCAAACAATAGATACAAACTCAAGGTTAACCACACCAAACTTGATTGCAGGAAATATGACTTCAGCAACAGAGTGGTCAATGTCTGGAATACTCTACCTGACTGTGGTTTCTTCCCCAAACCTCAAAAACTGTAACCTTAGACTGTCTACTATTGACTCACCCCTTTCCTAAGAGGTCTGTAGTGGGCGTACATAAGTGCACCAACATGCCTACCATCCCTGTCCTATTGTTTCTTTTATTTTTTATTTTTCTTATACAGGTGAAACTCGAAAAATTAGAATACCGTGCAAAAGTTCATTTATTTCATTAATGCAACTTAAAAGGTGAAACTAATATACGAGATAGATTCATTACATGCAAAGCAAGATAGTTCAAGCTGTGATTTGTCATAATTGTGATGATTATGGCTTACAGCTCACGAAAACCCCAAATCCACAATCTCAGAAAATTATCATATTACATGCAATCAATAATACAAGGATTGTACATAGAACAATATTGGACCTCTGAAAAGTATAAGCATGCATATGTACTCAGTATTTGGTTTGGGCCCCTTTTGCAGCAATTACTGCCTCAATGCGGCAGCTCTGCACATGCACACACTGGAAACAGGCTCCAGCTTTTCTTCTTCCCCACTGATCTCTGATTCTGAAGGCAGCTAATAACAGTCTGACTGGCTCCGCCAACCCCATCTCTTCTCTGCCTCCCATTGTGTCCCAGCTGATTGGCTGGGTCGTCTTTGGTTGCCCTGCATAGGAAAACAGAGCTGGAAAGCAGATTAGTGGGTTGGGGAGGGAATGGGGATTTTGCAGTATACTTCCCCTGCCATGCCCACCAAGCCATGCCCACAAGCCACATCATGCCCTCCAAGCCACGCCCACAGAACTGGCATTAAAAAATTTTTGAATCCCACCACTGACTGGTATCATCTACAGTCTTAGTAATTTTGGTAGCCATTCATCCATGCATCCAGCAGGACAAATCATGTCTGGTTTTCTTGAGATCAGCCAAAGTTGCTGAGCCAACCTCCAGAAAACCAGAAAGGATTTGAACAGCAAGAAATCACATTCAGGTATCTTCGTTTGCAAAAAAAAACATGTGTGATTGTGGTGATCATGAACATTGCCAGAGATTTTATCGTTGCCAAACTTGTTTAGCAAGTCTTTAACATTCTGATAACCAGACTGTTACTCACTGTACCGTAAGGGAGCTATGATCAAGAAAGATGCATATTAATGATTCATGCAGTTCAACCATCTTTCCTCCTCTCTCTTGCACACCCACAATAAAGACTGTGGTTTCCCAGATAAATCCCCCTGACGTACAAAACTATCTCTTGCACACAAAGGCATATGTATGAGCTACAACTTCTCAAGAAATCTAGCATTAATCAGTAGGATTTTGAAGTTAGTTGGGAGGACTCAACTATGCAATGGCTAGGACAGATTTTTCCAGACAACTTTCGGGGCAACCTAACAGAAGAAGCATTGTCCCCACCAGACGGATCAGCAAAATCAATCCTGCAAAAACAAAAAAAAACAAAACCCACAGTTGTGTCAAACAAAAGCAGAGAAATAACAACCCCGTGAATATATTTCTGACGTTGAGGGTTGTAACTTTATCGCTTGTATCCTTATGATTTATACTGACTGTTTCCTAGTATGATTTGATTGCTTATTTGTACCCTATGACTATCATTAAGTGTTGTACTTTGTGATTCTTGACTCTTGACCAAGGGGGTCTTCAAACTTGGCAAGTTTAAGACTTGTGGGCTTCAACTCCCAGAATTCCTCCTCCAGTCATGTTGGCTCAGGAATTCTGGGAGTTGAAGTCCACAAGTCTTAAACTTGCCAAGTTTGAAGACCCTTGCTCTTGACAGATGTGTCTTTTCTTTTATGTACACTGAGAGCATTTGTACCAAGGCAAATTCCTTGGGTGTCCAATCACACTTGGCCAATAAAAAAGAATTCTATTCTATTCTACTCCACTCTATTCTATTCTATTCTTTTTCCTTATTCTATTATATTCTATTCTTGTATTATTCTATTCTCTATTCTATTCTTTTTCCTTATTCTATTCTATTCTATTCTATTCTATTCTATTCTATTCTATTCTATTCTATTCTATTCTTGTATTATTCCTATTCTATTCTCTGTTCTTTTTCCTTATTCCATTATATTCTATTCTCTATTCTATTCTTTTTCCTTATTCTATTCTGTTCTGTTCTGTTCTATTCTATTCTTGTATTGTTCTGTTCTGTTCTATTCTATTCTATTCTTGTATTGTTCTGTTCTGTTCTATTCTATTCTCTATTCTATTCTTTTTCCTTATTCTATTCATTTCTATTCTATTCTTATTCTGTTCCTCGAAAGCCGTTCCTTTGGTTTGGCAAATTTGGGAGAAGGTAGTTCTGCTAGACTTGTTGAACTAATTCAGAGTTTCCCCACCTCTGACTATCCCTGCCAACCACTCCCCAGAAGTTAATATTTCCTAATGCTTCCATAAACAAGCAGAGCCAATTCAATCCAACCCCAGAGAGGTCTGGATTCCAAATTTGACAGCTTGCCATTGTTTCTATAAAGACATTGCAAACAACTACAAGACCGTGTCCCTGGAAAATAGATCTTTGCTGTAGAAGAAAAACCTCTGGTGAAGGTAAGAAGATATTTACTGTTAGAAACTAAGCTCAGCATTCTTTGGAACATTTTTTCACTCCCTCCTGGCTTGAAAATATCTTTTGAGCAGAACAGAAAAAGAATTTAAGCCATGTTAGAAGTTTGTGTTAACTGACTTTCGTCGTGAATTTCCCTACAAGCTTGCTTCTAAAACGGGCTGATTTGGGGGGAAAGTTTTTTTTTTATTGCAATTTGTCAAACAGAAAGGAAAAGAGAAATAATATTAAAAAAAACAAAAAACGACAGGGACGTTAAGGCACGTTTTCAGTGCCCTTATGTATGACCCCCTCTACGGACCCTTCAAATAAGAAATGAGGTCAATTTGTGACGGAAACTGTAAAAATTTGTAGCTGAAACAATTGAATCCGGTAGAGCCTTCCAGACCTTGACAACTCGATTACAAAATTTGTATTTTTTACAGTCAGGTTTACAACGATTCACATGGAGTTTAAAGCGATTGTTCGCAGGCATATTATTGCAATTAAAACCAAAGAAAAGTTACCTACAGGTAAAACATAACTACGTAATTACTACGCCAAAAAGAGATCAAGAAAAGAGCAGATCCAATATTCTTCTATGGCCCATCTGGATTTAAGAGTTTGGGTTGGTTGTGATGATGAGAACTTTATTGTATAAAATTTAATTTTATGAAGCTTCTCCTCTGGTAATACTGTTTTGCTAACTAGGGCATTCAAAACCTTTGCTAAACCAATACCTGACTCCAGCTCTGTTGTCTGGAATCCGCACTATATATCTCACATAAATACAATTGAGCAAGTCCAGAAGTATTTTACCAGAATAGTACTACATTCGTCTGTTCACAACAGAATACCCTACAGCACCAGACTCAAGATTCTTGGTTTAGACAACCTTGAACTACACCGGCTAAGATTGGACTTAAGCATAGTACATAAAATCATATGTTACAACATCTTACCAGTTAATGAATATTTCAGCTTTAACAACAACAACACAAGAGTGCACAACAGATATGAACTTAATGTTAACCATTCCAAACTCGATTGCAGGCAGTACGATTTCAGCAACAGAGTGTTCTGTTGTCACCTGCTCAAACCCTCCACTCCTTTACCCTCAAACTAACCTCTGTTGACCTCACCCCATTCCTAAGAGCAGTAGTGGGATGCAAATAATTTAACAACCGGTTCTCTGCCCTAGTGATTTCTTCCAATAACCAGTTCACCAAACTGCTCAGAAAATTAACAACTGGTTCTCCCAAATTGGTGCGAACTGGCTGAATCCCACCACTGCCTAAGAGGTCTGTAAGGGGCGTGCATAAGCACACAATCGTGCCTACCATCCCTGTCCTATTGTCCCCAATTATTAATTCCTATTACTTGTATTTAAACTTATGTTTATTCTTGTTTCTGTTATATTGTAAGCTTTTGACAAATAAATAAATAAGAATAAATAAGTAAATAAGTAAATAAGTAAATAAAAACCTGGTTAAGGTTCAGAAGGCTGATTCGCAAATGAAAACATTCCTATTTCCTAAAACCATCTAGAAATATATACAGGGAGTCCTCAAGTTACGACCACAGGGGAGCCCCAAATTGATGTTGCTTAAGTGAAACATTTGTCAGGTGAGTTTTGTCCCCGTTTTACAACTTTAGTTGCTAATGTTGTTAGGTGAATCACTGCAATTGTTAAGTTAGTCACCTGGTCGTTAAGTGAATCTGGGTTTCCCCATTGACTTTGCTTGTCAGAAGGTCACAAAAAGGAATCCCATGACCCTGGAACACTGCAATGGTCATAAATGTGAAGCAGCTGCCAAACGTCTGAATTTTGATCACACGATTATGGAGATGCTGCAGAAAAACGGTCGTAAGCCACATTTTTCCGCGCCGTTGTAACTTTAAACGACAAAAGGGATGTATACGTATAAGGGTTTTTTGGGAGGGGGGTTTGGAGAAATTTGATGAGTGAGAGGGAATCCTCCAATCAGTGTTGAAGGCTGCTGCAAAAATCTGTGTTTATATACTTTGGGATGGCTGTTAGGATGATAGAAGTTTAGAAGATTAAGAAAAAAGCATTTGCCTCCCAAGATCAAATTTCATTAATTTTCTAAATATAATTCCCTCCCCGATTGATGGTATAATAACAATGACCGCTTCAAACACTCAAGATTTCTCTTTTAAAATGACTCCTGGGCGCCCATTTTATTCAGTTGTTTTGCTAGCTCACCGCTTCTCTCTTAATCACTTTGTAGCTTGTGTTTTTTTTTAAAAAAAAATAGTACTTTGAAGGGGGGGAAGGGTGAAAAAAGGCTTTGCTTCCTCTTTTTTTCCCCAATAAGGCCAAAGAATTTGAAAGAATGCCATGAATTTTGTACATAAAAATGGGGACAGTACGCCAAGATTACTAGGCGCAAATAGAAATACACATTATTTCCACAGCAAAGAAGGAAATGCAGGGAAGGTTACATCAATTGGTTTATTCAAAGAGGAAATGTATGTTTTTATTTGGATATCACTTCTGGAATTTGTGCTTGTGAAGAAAACAAAAATGAGACTTTGACTTCAGTTGTGTTGATTCGAAAGATTTGGTGTTATAGGAATGACTAGTTATATAAAGGTAAAGGTTCCCCTCACATGTATGTGCTAGTCGTTTCCGGCTCTAGGGGGCGCTGCTCCTCTCCGTGACAAAGCCGAAGAGCTGGCGCTGTCCGAAGGCATCTCCATGGTCATGTGGCTGGCATGACTAACCACCGAAGGCGCATGGAACGCTGTTCCCTTCCCACCAAAGTGGCCCCTATTTTTTGCATTGCATTTTTTTGCGTGCTTTTGAATTGCTAGGTTGGTAGAAGCTGGGACAAAGAACGGGAGCTCACTCTATTACACGACGCTAGGGATTCGAACCGAACTGCTGACCTTTCTGATTGACAAGTTCAGTATCTTAGCGACTGAGCCACCGTGTCCCCAGCTAATTATATATGAATGTGTAAAAGCAAAACAGTTGAGTTTGGAGTGTGTTTATCTTGTACTGTGCTAGGAAGAGTTTGAAGTCAATGCCCCCCCCCCCCCCGTTTTCTTTCTTTCTCTCTCTTACCCCTTGTACCTCACAGGGCCGTCTTCACAGCATTATGGGCCTGGGGCAAAGCAGTGTACTGGGGCCCCTACGACAACGACTCACAGGAATAAAAATGTAAATGGTCGATCAAATGAAACCTATATTTGCATAATATATGTATGATATAGTATATTTATATGATACAAGGAGCATGGAAGGGTTAACATACACAGATTAGTATTGGGCCCCTATGCTTGTGGGGCCCACGAGGAAGGGCCCATAAGACAGCCCTGGTGTCTCTCACCCACGGGTGGGATTCAAAAATCCCAGCAACTGGTTTGCCGCCCGGTTGCTGGGTGGGCATGGCCATGGTGAGCGTGGCCTACAGGAACTTCCAGGAGGGCCGTTTTTCACCTTCCTAAGGGTCCGGAGGCTTCTCCCGGGCCTCTGGGAGGGTGAAAATGGCCTCCCCTGAGCTCTGGAGGCCCTCCGGAAGCTGGAAACAGGTCCGTTTCTGGACTTCCGATACTTCTGGGATGGGCATTTTTCACCTTCCCAAGGGTCTGGAGGCCTCCCCTGGGCCTCTGGGAAAGCAAAAATGGCCTCCCCTGGGTTCTGGAGGCCCTCCAGAAGCCAAAAACAGGCCTGTTTCCAGACTTCCAGAAAGCCCATTTTCTCCCCTCCCAGAGCCTCCACGCGGGCCTCATCGAAAATGGGCCTTGTGGAGACTCCTGGGAGGGGAGGGATGGGTGGGTTGGTTGGTTGAAATACCGGTTCAACAAACTAGATGAAAACTTAACATCCGGTTCGGCTGAACTGGTTCGAACTGGTAGAATCCCACCCCTGCTCACCCCCCCATACCCCACTCCCTTTCCTCCCCTTAATTTTCCATCTTTTTTTCTTCTCTTCTTTGTATTTTATATCATCAAATCAAATCTTAATAACGTTAATCTTGCCATAGGTTGCTCCAGGCTCTGACTTGGCCCCACCATGATCTTTCTGTTGCTTCTTGTGCCCAGCTTGGTCCTTTGTGATGTCAACATCACCTGGGAAGATCTGCCGACTACCGCCAGCCCCCTGGTAGACATGCAGAAGAAAGTGAACGACCTGTGGCTGAGTTTGCTCTACCCGCAACTCTACGACGATATCATCACAGCCAACCGGTCGGTCTACGCTTGTTGTGTCGCCAAACCCAGTAGCAAGTTAGCGGAGGGCAAGCCCCAAGTGACGGGCCTGGTTCTGTTCAAGCAGTTCTACCCCTATGGGAAACTGGAGGTGGTTTTCTACCTGGCTGGCTTCCCCACGGAATCGGACACTTCACCAAGGGCCATTCACATCCATGAGCACGGCGACCTCAGCGATGGCTGTGATTCTACTGGAGGCCACTACAACCCTTGGAAGGTCAACCACCCTCAGCACCCTGGGGATTTTGGAAACTTTCACCCAAAGGGAGGCAACATTCAGAAATTCAAATCGAACCTGAGAGCTACTCTCTTTGGACCCCATACCGTTCTTGGTCGGTCAGTGGTGATCCACGAGCAGGAAGACGACCTGGGCAAGGGCAACAACAAAGGCAGCTTGCTGCACGGAAATGCTGGCCTGCGCCTGGCGTGTTGTGTCATTGGCAAATGTCAGAAGGAGCTGTGGGACAAGCATTTTCCCAAAATCATGGCCAAAAGAAGGAAAAGGGTGATAAAACCTGGGGGGCCATGAGGGGGGGGCTGGCATCCCGAATGCCGATCGACTGAGTTTGTTATCCACTAAGTGGGTTGCAACGGCTGTTTCTCTTCCAAAAATGTTAAAATAGGCACCTCTCCTTTAGTGAATTCTTCCCTCTATAAGCAGGTTGATAATAAAGAAAAGCAGGACAAGCCTTTCAAAGTTCATATTTGTGCTTTATCTATATCATCTATATCTATATCTATCTACCTATCTACCTACTTACTTATCTTTCTATCTTCTTATCTATCATCTCTCTCTCTCATCTATCTACCCATCCATCCATCTATCTATATCTATATCTACCTACCGTCCTACCTACTTCTATCTATTTATCTACCTACCTACCTATCTATCCTATATATCTATCTATCCATCCATCCATTTATCAACCTCTCTCTGTCTCTATCGACCTCTCTCTTTATATATCCTCTCTATCATCCATCTATCTCTGTCTATCTATCTATCTATCTATCTATCTATCTATCTATCTATCTATCT